CCATAAACTTGTTTCATCATTTGATGAGTTTTGGTAAAGGTTTACCAGTTTAAAACTAAACTTAATGTTGGCTCTTTGTTCGATGCTCATTTTCCGACCGACACCACAAATGTAATGTCACATGTAGCGCGATATCTCAGCTGTTATACAAGTCAGCTGTTATATAAATTTTATACGACAACACGGAAGAATACACAATTGAGGGATAACAATTTCAGACAGATGGCGCACCTAGAAGCCGCGTTGTTTGAAAAGTCCTGGACTTTTGAATTGTACCTTGTATACATATATATTTTATGAGAAGATGCCGAATTTTAAAACTAGGAGTCAAGTTTGTTGTAAAAGGGCTGTAACACCAGAAAACCTAAAAACATTATATAAAAAGTTAAAGGAAAACTTTTGTATGGCAAATATCATGTTTATTAGTAGCTTTTATTGCCAAACGCTAGAATATTCAATAAACTCAAAGTTTATCTATGTACTGCATGTAATAATTCCCGATGACTGTAATCACTCTTTGTATGCCCTACGAAACCAACTCATCTAACACCCTTTTCCTGATGGTCCGACACCTGAAGGCCCCATTACAGGATTTTGATAAGAATTAACTTTGGCTTTGCCATCCAAACAGCGTCTCAATAACCGCTACAAATACATTAACTGAGCTTATGGAACTTGAGTTGGTAACTTAAGATTTGTCTTCGAATGTCATCTACATTGGAATCCCACTAATAGGTATTATGAAGTTCTACTATACCTAAGTATTTTAAGGAAACAGGGATTCTCTGCGCTGCTCTACTATTTTGTAATAAGATTAAACAAATTACAAAATTTTACACAAATTTTAAAATAGTAAAATTTTTACTGTAACGTTAAAGCCGAAAATTTCTTGGCGTCAAGGCTCTAGTATACACACATATACCATACGTAACATCACCAACGATGGACCTTAATGGCTGTTCATCTGCAATTCAAAGGGACTTTAGTTAACTCACCTGAATTCGATGGTATCATCCTGTTCGCATAGCTCATTTAACATCCAGAAGCCCAAAGACTCTGTGTGCACTTCGTTTCCGTTTGCGTTGTTCTCATCCCTCAAATTCGCACCACTCCCACTCCCGCAACGGGTACGCACGTACGTGGTACTCACTGCTACCTGTGCTACTGGAGTCACGCTGTCCATTGTGTTGTTGTTGTTGTTGACTTTTAGCACTACCATGCCATTTATTTTCTGGGCACATTTTTCTAGCATTCCGACTACTGTTATTCTGTGACCGTCGATTAGTTGCTTTATCCAACTTGTTGCAGCCACTTGGTGGCGAACATCTGTTGCTGTTGTTGTTGCTGTTGCTGTGCTGCTGCTGTTGAAAGTGGCCATGGCCACTACCAATGGCATCGTAATTATGACGAAAGCGAAATTCTCTTCATCCGACGCCGATGTGGCCGAGTCGAAATCATTTTTCCGCCTCGAAATCCCGACTGTCATCATCCCAGCGTCAGCATCATCGCCGTTATGGTTGGCGTCGTTGCGCTGAAGTGAACTGAACCATGAATTGGCAACTTGTTGCTCGTCGCTGCTGAATGGTGATCAACAAAACTGCCACGTTCGCGACCGCTTAATGTCGAAAGTGTTTCCACGAAAATTCCCGTGTAATGCAGCTCGTTGCCGTTTGCGTTGCCGCTGCCACCGTCACCACCGTCAGGGCCGCTGTCATTGTCATTGCCAGCATTAGCCGTATTGCTGTGGTCCCTCATGTCTTCTGGCTATTCACTTTCGTTTTGTACTCATATTTCGTGGTAGTGGCTTCCACAAAGGCGTTGCCGTCTAATGGCTGCGTTTGTGCGGCATCGGCTCTTGTCGCACGGCCGGCTGCCTTGGGCGTTGATGGCTTGGCGTATGTCAGCAGACGCACTGGAATATGAGAAGCACAAATTATATTTACTTTTATTTGCCATTTGCCAGTGAAATTAAGTTACATTGCCTTGAATGCAAAAATGCAATAAAAGTATAATTTATGTGGAGACTTGGAGAAGTTTCAATTTGAATGTGAAAATATAAATATATGTGCAATTTTATTATGGATCTGCCTATTAAATCGAATGAGCAAGCAAATAAACATAAATAGTTGGGTAATTCAGACAAATATCAATGGGGTTCCATCCTTAAGTTTATGTCGTGTTGACGTCATTGCATGGTGCATTTAATTTGAATTAATTAGTCAAAATGAATTCTATTAAACACGAAGAGAGGGAGATGTAGAAAGAGAGTGGAGAGGAAAGAAGTAGAACGACTCGAAGACGAGTATTCACCAGTATTTCCTAGGTAATAAAACGTCTTTATATGAAGCTTTTAACTAGCTCAACTAATTCCTTCCGTGGCCATCTATATACTCGAAATATAAGGGGACAAGTGGTGGTTTCATAGAGACTTACGTCGCATTGGAATAATTACTAAAATTCATTAGATTTTTCTAATTAATTTACGACTACTTTTGTAACGTATTTTAAGTCTGCTGCCACTTTGTTATGTGCTTTTGTAATACATCTCACACAAGTGTAATAAGAGCACTAAAAAAGAGGCAATGAGCACTAGTACGTAAATGGAGAAGTTTGCTACCTCTCAGGATAGCCGAACTACACTTTGGAGAGCAAGATTTAGTTTAGCTACTACAAGAGGATACCTCAGGGCGAACAAGTTGAAAACACTCGCCGCTATATCGTACGAAAGGGCTTAAGCCTAGCAAAGGTATTGCACCATCCCTTTGTTGGGTTGGGTTATATTTATTAATCTCTTCTCTTTGTATGTATGTGTATTTATTAACACAATGCCACTAGTATAAGCCTATGGCCATATATAAGTCAGCCGCTCCTGCTGCTGCTGACACTGGCGTCGCTGATGGCAAATTGTGATCTTGAAGATGTCAGCAATTAGTTGCGTTGATGACTAAAATGATTACACATACATACATACAACGTACAATACATAAGCATCTTCAATATACAAATTGGCTGATAAAACAATATACAGATGTTTCTGTTGTAATGGAGCTGGCATTTATTATGACGCTGTGCATTGGGTGCATGACGTTAATGATTTGACGAAAGCCTCCTCAAGGAATAGGTACGTTAAATTAAGAGGTAAATAAATCTACAAAAGTACATATTTATTTAAAAATAAATATATTGTAACAAAATTTAATAAACTGCAGAAATCAATCATGTCGTGATAGTCTATGCAACTAAAAAACTTAAATTATAATTATATAAATAAATCAATAAAAGTAATATAAAATATGTATTAAAATAATTAAATAAAACAAGCGAAAACGTTAACTTCAGTTCCTCCGAAGCTATACAAGGTGCAATTCAAAAGTTTCAGGACTTTTATTAAAAAATGAATATTTTTTTTTGAAAAATTTATTGGTCGCCTTCAAAATAGTCTCCTTCCGCCTGAATACAACGTTTTGCACGTTCAAGAAGGTTATCGAATGACTTTTTTAGGTCATTTGTCGGTATAGCGTTGAGGAAGGCGGTCGTCGCCTTTTGGATGGCATCAACGTCAGCATAGCGGTTTTCTTTCATGGCCAAATGTAGTTTTCCGAACAAATAAAAATCGCAGGGTGCCATATCAGGCGAATAGGGTGAATGGTTGATGATATGAATGCGATTTTTGGTCAAAAAATCTGTCTGATTCTGAGGTCTTTTTCGTGTTGTTTCAAAGTGTGCGGGACAAATCGAGCACAAACCTTTCTGAGGCCCAAATTTTCTGTCAAAATACGATAAATCGAGGCTGCGGATATTGATAATTCCGATTCCATATATCTAAGCGATAATTTCGGCTCTTTTTTTTATGAATTCACACACAATTTCCGTGTTTTTTTCGTTCACAACATCTTTTGGCCGGACCGAACGTTCGTCGTCTTCCAAGTCCTCCCGTCCCTCTTGAAAACGTTTAAACCACTCGACTACGGGATAGACAATCATCGCCATAAACTTGTTTCATCATTTGATGAGTTTTGGTAAAAGGTTTACCAAGTTTAAAACTAAACTTAATGTTGGCTCTTTGTTCGATGCTCATTTTCCGACCGACACCACAAATGTAATGTCACATGTAGCGCGATATCTCAGCTGTTATACAAGTCAGCTGTTATATAAATTTTATACGACAACACGGAAGAATACACAATTGAGGGATAACAATTTCAGACAGATGGCGCCACTAGAAGCCGCGTTGTTTGAAAAGTCCTGGAACTTTTGAATTGTACCTTGTATACATATATATTTTTATGAAAGATGCCGAAATTTTAAAACTAGGAGTCAAGTTTGTTGTAAAAAAGGGCTGTAACACCAGAAAACCTAAAAAACATTATATAAAAAAGTTAAAGGAAAACTTTTTGTATGGCAAATATCATGTTTATTAGTAGCTTTTATTGCCAAACGCTAGAATATTCAATAAACTCAAAGTTTATCTATGTACTGCATGTAATAATTCCCCGCATGACTGTAATCACCTCTTTGTATGCCCTACGAAACCAACTCATCTAACACCCTTTTCCTGATGGTCCGACACCTGAAGGCCCCATTACAGGATTTTGATAAGAATTAACTTTGGCTTTGCCATCCAAACAGCGTCTCAATAACCGCTACAAATACATTAACTGAGCTTATGGAACTTGAGTTGGTAACTTAAGATTTGTCTTCGAATGTCATCTACATTGGAATCTCCCACTAATAGGTATTATGAAGTCCTACTATACCTAAGTATTTTAAGGAAACAGGGATTCTCTGCGCTGCTCTACTATTTAGTAATAAGATTAAAACAAATTACAAAATTTTTACACAAATTTTAAAATAGTAAAATTTTTTACTGTACCGTTAAAGCCGAAAATTGTCTTGGCGTCAAGGCTCTAGTATACACACATATACCATACGTAACATCACCAACGATGGACCTTAATGGCTGTTCATCTGCAATTCAAAAGGGACTTTAGTTAACTCACCTGAATTCGATGGTATCATCCTGTTCGCATAGCTCATTTAACATCCAGAAGCCCAAAGACTCTGTGTGCACTTCGTTTCCGTTTGCGTTGTTCTCATCCCTCAAATTCGCACCACTCCCACTCCCCGCAACGGGTACGCCACGTACGTGGTACTCACTGCTACCTGTGCTACTGGAGTCACGCTGTCCATTGTGTTGTTGTTGTTGTTGACTTTTAGCACTACCATGCCATTTATTTTCTGGGCACATTTTTCTAGCATTCCGACTACTGTTATTCTGTGACCGTCGATTAGTTGCTTTATCCCAACTTTGTTGCAGCCACTTGGTGGCGAACATCTGTTGCTGTTGTTGTTGCTGTTGCTGCTGCTGCTGCTGTTGAAAGTGGCCATGGCCACTACCAATGGCATCGTAATTATGACCGAAAGCGAAATTCTCTTCATCCGACGCCGATGTGGCCGAGTCGAAATCATTTTTTTCCGCCTCGAAATCCCGACTGTCATCATCGCCAGCGTCAGCATCATCGCCGTTATGGTTGGCGTCGTTGCGCTGAAGTGAACTGAACCATGAAATTGGCAACTTGTTGCTCGTCGCTGCTGAATGGTGATCAACAAAACTGCCACGTTCGCGACCGCTTAATGTCGAAAGTGTTTCCACGAAAAATTCCCCCGTGTAATGCAGCTCGTTGCCGTTTGCGTTGCCGCTGCCACCGTCACCACCGTCAGGGCCGCTGTCATTGTCATTGCCAGCATTAGCCGTATTGCTGTGGTCCCTCATGTCTTCCTGGCTATTCACTTTCGCTTTTGTACTCATATTTTCCGTGGTAGTGGCTTCCACAAAGGCGTTGCCGTCTAATGGCTGCGTTTGTGCGGCATCGGCTCTTGTCGCACGGCCGGCTGCCTTGGGCGTTGATGGCTTGGCGTATGTCAGCAGACGCACTGGAAATATGAGAAGCACAAATTATATTTACTTTTATTTGCCATTTGCCAGTGAAATTAAGTTACAACATTGCCTTGAATGCAAAAAAAAAATGCAATAAAAGTATAATTTTATGTGGAGACTTGGAGAAGTTTCAATTTGAATGTGAAAATATAAATATATGTGCAATTTTATTATGGATCTGCCTATTAAATCGAATGAGCAAGCAAATAAACATAAATAGTTGGGGTAATTCAGACAAATATCAATGGGGTTCCATCCTTAAGTTTATGTCCGTGTTGACGTCATTGCATGGTGCATTTAATTTGAATTAATTAGTCAAAATGAAATTCTATTAAACACGAAGAGAGGGAGATGTAGAAAGAGAGTGGGAGAGGAAAAGAAGTAGAACGACTCGAAGACGAGTATTCACCAGTATTTCCTAGGATAATAAAAACGTCTTTATATGAAGCTTTTAACTAAGCTCAACTCTAATTCCTTCCGTGGCCATCTATCGATATACTCGTAAAAATATTTGGGGGACAAGTGGTGGGTTTCATAAGACTTACGTCGCATTGGAATAATTACTAAAATTCATTAGATTTTTTCTAATTTAATTTAACGACTACTTTTGTAACGTATTTTAAGTCCTGCTGCCACTTTTGTTATGTGCTTTTGTAATACATCTCACACAAGTGTAATAAGAGCACTAAAAAAGAGGCAATTGGCAGCACTAGTACGTAAATGGATAGAAGTTGTACTGCTCCCTAGGATAGCCGAGACTACTCTTTGGAGAGAGCAAGATTTAGTTTAGCTACTACAAGAGGATACCCTCAGGGCGGAACAAGTTAGAAAACACTCGCCGCTATATCGTACGAAAGGGCTTAAGCCTAGCAAAGGGTATTGCACCATCCCTTTGTTGGGTTGGGTTATATTATATATTAAGTCGTCAAAAAGCGATCTCAGCTTATAAGATCAAATCGCTATTAATGCAGGATCAAAACAGCTTATCGATTTGCAACCTTGTGCACCGTATCTGGGTGCTGGGGCATAAAGGAGTAGCCGGCAATGAACTGATGAACGTGCTTGCTCTGCTGCTGTTTCTAGGCTGGTCGGTCCATAATCTTGTATTGCGGTAAGTTTCCATACCAAAAAGGTGCTGCTTCGCAAAGAGAGAGAGAAAGAGTGGTCAGATAAAGATATTGGCAGCAAGCAACAAGTATTCGCCAAGCCAAGCTGCTAAAGGAGGTTTTACCTCCTAACATGGTTTAAAAGCATCACAAACTTTCCAGAGACAAAAGCCGTGTAGGCTCAGGAAGCACTTGTCCAATATGGGCATTGCCTCTTGTGAAAACTACCCCCCCAAAACCCCTGATCACCTGATTCTAGACTGTACAGCAATCTACAGACGTAGGTTAAAAGCTCTTGTATCCATATATCCAAATAGGAATCACAGTACCCTAATAGCACCCAGCGTGTTCCTGGAATTCATCACAGTGCTTGACCTTTGAGAGTGTAAAAAAACTTAGGTCGCCGTGCAAACTTCAATTAAATTCTATTCTAGTCTATTTCTCTGAGTTTAGAATTCTTTTAGTTAGAAAAATTTTCAAAAATATACCTAGAACTGAAACAATAGCCAGTTATTATCGAAGTTTTATTTTCATATGCTCCGCGATGGAATTTTTTCTATCTAGGCTGCCAGAAGCGTAGTCTCTACTGGCGGCGAATACGTCTATGATATAAAAATAATATCGCTTATTTAAGCTAAATTGAACGTTTTTATAACCAGTGAATATCAGTCATCTGCAACCCCAGAAGTATAATTTTGTGAAAAAGACTGCTCTTGAAAGCTGTTCACATAACATTAAACCCTGATAATTTAAATCCAGGAGGTACATTGTATTTTCTACCTGTACCAAAATCCCCGAAAATAATTTTATTTTTTAGAAGAAAAGAGTATCAAGCTTTCATCTCAGTATTTTAATTCTTAGCCAACAATAACATAGCACTTGAGTAAATTAAAGAAGAGAAACTAAATTCAGCAAAATTTATCAATTTCCGTTCTCAGCGTCCGAAAATAATACAAATTCTGTGAAAATTTCTAACAAAATTAAATGAAAACATACTCATAACACAATTCCCAACACATACAAATGAAAAACTAATTGCCGTTCGCAACGAAAACACTGAAATATTTATTACCCAATTACAATTTGTTGAGCTACACATTATCCTCTTTTATCCACTTCTCGTTTGAGTAAGCGAAGTGTTCAAATTCCGCGCACGTAAAATCCAAACAACAACAACGACAATAATAAAGGCAAACCAAGTTTAATACGGATGCAGTATTCTGGTGGCAGATGAATTTATAGATTTTCACCTTTTTACCAGTTTTTTCGCAATAACTCTAAAAAACATCGAAATATATGTATTTACAAGTATTAACAAAAATGTCTGCAAATGACAGACGAGATTGTACAATCAGCATGGAAGCTCTATAACTCTTTTCGGCTAAAAAATGTGAGTCATTTTATTCAAAAGGCTTGGGTCAGCTGAAAAATTAATGCTTAATAAAACTTTTGCATTGAAATGAGCGCTGAAGTTCGTACGTGATCAATGTGAATTTAAATAAAACTAAATATTATTTTTGCTTTTTTTTGTAATTGCTGGATAAAGGGTGTAACAAGTAAAGTGTGATCCATTTTTTTGTTTACTTTTAAGAGTTTTTAAATAATTTAATATGAGTACAAGCTCACATAACTTTTTTTTATCGCCACTTCTTACCACCTGGCAACACTATTGAAAGTGTTAATATTAAAATTATTGTACTTAAACAATAGCTTCTTTGATGTCAAAAAAATGTTACCAAAAAATTAATATTTTAAAGAGTTAACAACTAAATACCCCTCTGTATTTTCAATAATATTTTTCAAAAACCATTAAAAAAAAGAATTACGCACAAATAAACAAGGTTACATATTACTACTACACCATTTTGCCACATAACTAACAATGTTGAATAAATTTCCAACTTTTAAACAGATGGCAAAACCTCATAAACTATAAATAGTTGGCAACCCTAGCAATTTGTTTCAAATAAATATTCAAAGCAATAATTTTTCCAAAAATTTATATGCTTTCTTATTTCAAATACGCAATAAAATACATTTATTTTCAACTTTAGGTAGCAGCTCTATGGAAAAATATATGATAAGCCTTTCCTGATATATTGATAACATGGTCAATACTTAATTAACTTTTTACATTTTCAGTAACAACAATTTACGGCCAGAAAGTTTTTGCTATATGTTTGGTGGGACTAGCAGGGAATAATCTACTATGAACTGCGCACATACGACCAAACTCTTGCTTACGACTTTTACTAAGAACAATTGGCCCGTCTGAAGCAATCAATCGTCCAGAAGTGGTTAGCTTTGGCTAATATTAAAAGAATTGTATTCCATCGGAACAATGCCAGGCCACAACTGCGATAGTTAGTCGCCAGAAGCTTCGGCCGATTGGTTGGAATCTATAGTGAATGATTTTCTAAATACTTTTTTGTAGAGTGTTAAATTTCCTATAAGAACTATCCGTTAAACCGGTTCAGAGTTGCAATATTCCAAAATTAAGGAAACATTTTTTTTGTGTTATTTAAATGGGAAATAGGAATATGCGATGCGCGACCTCTTAATATTAATATTAAGGGTACTGGTTTTCACAGGCGTTTTTTTACATCTCCACGAAAGTTATTACGTGAGGATTTCGAGAAAAAAATTTAATATTTTATTTGAATCAGCCTACTATATAATGATATTTTTTGTTCCAAAACTAAATTTAGATTCTCTCTTGTTTTATTCCAACGGTTTTTGGAAGATCAAAAAAAGACAACGCGTAACGCGATACAGTGGTCTCCGGATGTCTCTCGTACTTCTGATTTTTTACTACGTTCCATTAGCACATTAATTTCTAACGGACTTCAACCAAGCCGACTTACGACCTACCATTACAGCTCAGTTACCTTTACAACTAAAATTCAATTATCAAGAAAGATATCGGAATTGAACTTAGCGCAGCGCAAATAGTGCCTTTGAGATATAGCAATGCTAATATTAAATTAGTCGCCGTCGATACATTCTTTTTAAAAGCCTTCATATACTGAATATGAGGACTGTTTTTGATTGACTTTGTGCCATATATCTCTGGTCAATAAGCGAGGTATCTTAGTGAAATTTAGTGGGGCATTTAATCAAGCATATTTGCTTTTGGTGCCAAATCATAAAATCTATCAGCTCAGAAATTCTCATAGCTGCCATAAATAAATAAATTGAATGACTTTCGCTTCTATGTTCGACTGTATCATGTTCGACTCAAACTTAACTCTTCCATTTCTTATGAAATATTTTAAGCTCTTAAAGTAATACTTTTTTTTAGGATTACGTCGTCTTGTAAATGGATTTCGGTGAAGAAAACTTTTATTTAAAAAAATTTATATTCAAAATACTTTGGCTTTAAAATAATTTCATTTACTTTGTAATCAAACATTTATATCATGTAGTTAGGTGAGTTGGAGTTAATAATCTTTTACTTAATATTTTAATATATTATATGTATTGCATACATATGTATATGCGTACACAACAACGTGCTTCTGCTATGTTGCTTTGAGAATTTGCATCCACCTGTAATTGACAAACATCTATAAGTGCATAACTCTGTAATTACATTGTGGATTTGAGTGATCTGCTGCCAACTTAGCTGTCAACTCGAAAATATCAAATCCCAATTTGCTATGCCCATTCAAGTTCGTCGTTTTGACTGCTTGTTGCATTTGCCTAAAGTATGAGTAGGTACATTGTAGAGACATGCGACTAAAAATATTGACACTTAAAATGTAAACATTAGGGTGTGTCACGACGTGGTGGAAGTTAAAAATTCAATAAGATGACAATGAGGCGAGAGAATTTTAGAGAAATTGTTGGTTGAAACGAAATGATTCGCATAAGAGTGCAGTTGAATAAGAAAGAAATCGGCGAAGCTCCACGCCTGCTTTTAAAATGCTACGGCATTTTTTCTATCTTCTATCTCATATTTGTAAAATGTTATTTGATAAACATAATGGGTGATGGTGTGGAGTATATGTATTAAAATACAATCAAAATATACGATATCACATACAGCTATATACTACAAGTACATCAAAATTTCGAAAAATAGGCGTGGCTTTAAGATATAACTCAGGAATACATAAAAATTATAAAAGATTTGAGATCTTTCTTATTTTTTCTGTATATGACTAAAATATTTATTTTTTGAAAAATTAACTTTTCAAAAAAAAAAAAAATTATTGCACAAATCACTGAACATTTCTGACCAACCCTAATACACAAAAGCGCTTGGGGTGCGATTGTAAAAGTAGCTCAAAATGAAAATGTCACATTGACTTCGACATCGATTGCAGTGCTGACAACAACAAGTGGCAAGGACACACAACCAACATACATTTATCCGATGCGAGCCGTGAAGCCCATAAACATGTTTGTGTGTGTGCAGCGATAAGCGAATAACTGTTGTTGATGGCAGTGCATCATTTGTTAAAGCTATTAAACCCCGTCAACCCCGTCAACCCCGCCGACACCAGCGCGCAACAGTTGCTTTGAGCGATTGTGTTCAACAAATCAGCTCTTGCCACAAGCGAATTCCACACTTGATATGAATGTGAACAATTTTAATGAGCAGCTACTCAAGCATATTCGTTTCCAGAGAATACCGACATGCAGACTTCGATTATACTTGGTAAATTGAGATGTTGAATGCATTTGCAATGTTGCCACCAGGTCATAGTATACATTGTTAGATTATAACTGTTTTTATAGCATATTGTTTCTATGGAATTCGCGTTTTTACTCGATGTGCTGCTCGATTGATTGGTTAAGTGGTTGAATGTGTTAAATCGACAGGGTTCCACAAAATGAAAAGGAATGATGATATTGAGCTTGGATAATATATGGTCTTAAGATGTGAAATACATATCCCTCTCACATAATATACAAGATATATGTTACGTTGATTGCTGTTGCAGGGCATAAGTACCGCCTTAACCTATCTTCGATCCGAAACAAAAGTTGTATTGACGAGATTGGACCAAAGGAATATATGTTGTCCGACTGACATATTTACAAATTTAATGGGAAAATAGGCGAGAAATGGTTTCCATTGTTCAAATGTGTCTTCTTTATAAGAGATTTGTCTCATGGACCTAGGTCTAGTTGTGTTATTAGACGAATCTCTTGATATTATTGATGGGAAAAGCAAGCGCTTTTAACAGGAGTTATTTGAAGACATCTTAAGAATGTACTTAGCGTGATCACCCGGGGACTTAAGTACGCTTAATGTGTGGTTTATTACCAGTTGACTGAAAGCAGTAATTGGAAGATTGTTCTCTTGTTCTTGCTCAAAGACTCCCGCTCAGTGATAACGCGAGCACAAAGGCAGCGTTACAAAGAGGTAGATAGATATGCAAGACGTATTTACTAAAATAAAAAAAAACAGGAGTATGAGTATAAAGAGTTAGAAATTATGACAGATGGAAAGACTCTACGAGATTTTTACTAGCCGGCTAGGTTATGTCGTAGGGCTGAACCTCGCACAAACGTAACGCAAGATCCCATTTGGAAAGCTGTAAACGCTGATCCTTTGTGATTTCCGAAACACCTAGATATGGACCCGACCCTTAAAAATTGATGGATCGTTTTAAACCTACTAAAAATTTGTTAATGCAGCTAATATTAATCCCAGCCACTTCGTCAGGTTCGCCGAAAGTGTGTCTACCTAGAGGTTTCTACCTCAGTCTGCCATAAGCTGGACAGCTGAGAGAAAGTGTCTAGACGAATCCTTCTCGTTTTCTTTTATACAGCTTTGCTATTTTGCGTCCGCCAAAATATATCGCTTGTGAGTTTCTTGGATTCCAGTTAGAATGCCTATAAGGCGGTGAGATGAACTTTGATAAAAGCAAGTAGTTCATAGGACCTTTTGCGTTCCGCATTAGGCCAGAAGGAGTTGAGGCCAAGAAGAAGGAGAGGCCACACAAGTTTGATTACTAACCAACGCTTGCCAAGCTCAATGGAGGTACATAGATCCAGCGCTAGAACGTAAGAGGGCATCGGAGTATCGACCCGTTGCTGATCTGATGAACTTGGGGCAATGGTGCCTTTTCTAGCAAGCTCATCGGCTTTGCAGTTACGCTGTGACCCGGCATCCAAACAAATGGAATAAGAAGAAGATTCACCAACACGCTTAGCTGGGGAAGAAGCAACGTTTCTATAACAATCGGCTTTACGCAACAGGAATCGATCCATATTTTTATACGACCAGGAATTCTCAACCCAGTAGCGTCCTTAAAAATTATTTGAGGGATATTTCTGCCGCTATACCTCGACAATCTGGTTGAAAATAATCCAATGAAATGCAAGATACTTCGGTGTCTGCTTAAGTTTATCTTATACCGAAACGGACACATTCTTTGTGTGGGAAAGGGCTGCTTAAAGAAGAATTTTAATACGACAAGGGAGGGAACTAAAAATTACTGGTAGGCAAATGGTGCAAAAAGGCGCTACTTGCTAAAAGTGACCATATGACGTCGGAGCACAAATTGTGTAGCCTATAGAAAAAAATTCCACATAAAAACAAAAAACAAATAGGAACTGCGAATACCAAGGCTCGAGCTATTGTCGGATAAAAAATATTATTTCAACTCATTAAATTTCGTAAGGTTCGAGATATTAGAAACAACTGAATCTATTTTGATTTTTAGCAAAATTTTTTTAAAGCGAGTATTGAGCTTAATCAATATTAAATAAAGCACTTTACTCTGAAAACGTATCAACTCAGCCACTTACCTTGATACATCAAACCGCAATTGATGCCAACCGATGACGTTTCAAAGACATGATGTTCCAGCCGCAAATCGATAAACAAATGATGTCCCATGTGGCCTCCGACTCGTGTGCGGTCATCGAAAACATCCTCGCCATTCGTCTCCGACTGCTCCTCCTCCTCCACGTCGACCACATCGTTGAGGAAGTGGCTAAAGCCATCATGACAGCTTCTAGTATTGCTGATGGTGTTCGTTTTTGTCTGCTGCGCAATTAGCGCTTCAGCAGCAGCCGAGGCACCTGTGGCAGTATTCCTTGAAAGCTCACCGCCATTTGCCACACGCGCCGACGCCATGTGAGCCAAATTATCGTATGTGTAGTGCTCGTCAGTGCGGCCTAAAGCGGAATCGGACACCGTTGCCGCTGCACTGCCGTCGCTGCTCGAGGGTAATTTGCTCAAATTGATGTTAATCTCATCGGTGTTGGTTAACTCTGTGCTACGGGAAACTAATTGTTGTTCGTTGTTGGTGTTTGTATTGCCGTTATTGCTGTTGCCGCTCCTAACTGCTCTCCCATCTTTGTTATTGTTACTATTATTGCCGTAATTGCGGTCGACCGAGTGCGCGCCGTAATGCCCGTTGCCCGCCTGGTTGTTTGGGCCATTGCGGCCATCGGTTTGTGTCGCCGTGGTGGCAGGAGTGGCGAACGCCGGTGCGGGTGCCGTCACAGTGTTGGTATTGGCATCATTTGTCGCACTCGCATTGAGCACAACGGGTGGCAGCGCAGCTGTGGCGAGATTTCGTTTGGCGGGAGGTGGTCCGGGCGAGCGACCTGGCGCTGGATCACTGTTCATATGGCCGACCGTTTGGATGGCGAATAGTCCGAAAAATAGAAGGCATATAACTAATTTCGTCATTATAACTACTACAACTACAGCGTGAGTTCGCGCTCGGTGGCTGCTGTGGTTCTGATTCTGGCTGTGGCTGTGGCTGAGACTGTCGTTGTTGTTTTAGTGTTTTTTGTTGTGTTTGTTTGTATTGCTGTTGCTTGCTGGTGTATTTTAACTGCTTTGGCAGTTGTCGGTATGGTTGTGGTTGTTGTTGTTGTTGTCGTTGTTGCAATGTTGGTCTTAGTCTTCGCAATGGGATTTCCATAGACGTTAACTGCACTTTTGCCTGTACAAACGGAAGATGTTCTTTGGCTGCTATAATGTTGTTGTTGGTGGTATTATTTTATACTAAGCTAATAGCAATTAACGGTTTCACTAATTACCACCGTTATGCTCACTTCATAAATTTTCTACTTTATTAAACCGTTTATATTGTCTGCCTTGCGCGAAGAGTTCTTTTAACGGTTGTCTTATGAATTTTAATTCTTTTATGACTTATTTAGCATCAGCCACTTTAACCGCGTTCGATGTTTTTGCTGATTGCTAGTTCTTTTGTTGTTGTTCTCGTCGTTATGAAAATCCATTTGGATGCCTCGCTTGCCTTTGGCATTTCAGCCGTGGAGGGGTATTTGTTCGCTAGTAACGGTTTATTTGTGGTTAACGGTTTTAGCTGTAAATAAATAAAATAATAAATTATTAGATTTGAGTTAGTGTACAGAAAAAAAATAGATAAACTGTAACAAATGTTTCAATTGGATGAATTCCTAAAGTGTTTCGTAAAGCTTTCTGAATCGTTTATACTATACACAAGTTTTTCATATTTATTGTTATTTTTTTTTATAGTTGGCAATTCTAAATTGTTTATATCACATATATATGCATTTTCGGAATCATTTCCCATTTAATACCCATATTGTATAATACTTTTCCTAGCTTTCCTCAAGCACGTTCATTTTAGAAATGATATTTAGATGCAAATATCGGTGACGGATTAAGTTCCAATATATAGTATTCCAGGGCGTTTTGGTAAGTACTTTATAACCAATGAAACACGAAAATGTTCTAAAAACGTTGATTTATTGTGTTGGAAGAGCAAATAGAATTTTTTCCTCGGCAAATATTACAGTTTTTTTACACTTTGGCATACGATTGACCCAATACTGCGACATAATACTACTCGACCATACCTTGTGAATAACAGAAAATGATGGCCATCCCTTTCTGGCCATTAAGACAGTCTCAGTGCATATTCACCGGTGAAGTCCGCTAATTTGATTTGGTATCCAGTAGTTACCAGTCTATCCATATTTCGTCGAAGGTCACGAAACATGCCAGATACTCCTTCATACTGTGCTTAAATAGTGTCAAACACTTAGATGAAGCGATCCTACCGCTGTGCTTAAAGTCCAAAATTTCGTGCTTAATATGATCCATCACCTCAATCAGCGGTCTGTCAATATTAGATCGGGAACTTTTGACTTGTACTTGTAAGTTTCTCTTCCGATATAGGCGTAATCAGAAGAAGCTAAGTACTTATTGGACCGTCGTCGTATTTCATTATTCAGAGTTCGTCGACTAAGTCAACCCTTTTATAATTGACGACTAAATTATTTGACTTCTCCTGATTTTATTTTCTGGCATTAACAGGACAATGCATGTCGTGACATGACTTCATAAATATGTAATTTTACAAAATAGCTACATATAAGCACTTCGATGTGTACGAAAATGTTGAGGAGTCATTAACCGCTGTATTTTTTCATAGAAAACTCAGGTGTGCCATGCTCTTAATAAAATAACTAAACAAAAACCAATTAAATGATTGACACTAATTGAAAAATTGAACCTCTCGAGATTCCACTTAATTAGTAGGCGTACACATACATCAAAAATGTACACGAAAAGCTATATAGGTATACATATGTACTCACATGTAGATGATGCGGTAAACAACAGTTTTAATCAAGCCGCAGTCAAATATGTAAACATACTTTATTGTTATACATACAAACACATATTCGAACTCTCTATTAACAAGTACCTACAGTTTACAGTACAAGAGAAATGTTGTGCATGGTAAATGTATAATATATTTAATATATTGTAATATTGATATAATAATTATATATTTTTTATAAAAACTTCTTAAAACAGGTTAAAGTATTTTATAAATTCATATCTAAAAAAGTATTCTGATAAAAGTTTTGTATTTTTTATTTTTCACTTGGCAGTATACAATATATAATAGTAAATAAGTAATTAATAATTATAGGAATATTGAAATACCAACAGATGGCGCTAGAGTCGAACTATTGTAAGAACCTTTATATATGATTTGATTTGGTTCCTTTTTGTGATATTTATTGGCAGGGAAAAGCAAATTTTTTGCTCGGGAGGTAGCACCAGAGAAGATTAATAAAAATATTTATGTACCGATTTAGTTTACTCCATAGTTTTGATAGTAAAAAAATTTAAAATTATATGTCTCACACACTAGAATATATTTTAGAAAAAATTTAAAAAAATCGATAGATCGTCGATTTATTAGGACCATCAAAAAGTTTAGTCATTGTGCGAAGTTCAAAAATAAAGTGTAATTTAATTGCTAATATTTTTACTAATTATCATAAGGGCTAACGAGTACAAGGAATTAGCTATATATTTTTATTAACAAAGTTCGCTTTCGTCCAAAAATTCTATACTATCTAAGATCGTAATTAATGGTTTAGCTATCCGAAAATCCTGCGTTGGCTCAGTTATTGGCGATTGCCAAAAAGCTTGGTGATCTCACATAAGGTTTGGCTGCCGCAGAGTAAACAACTTAAATACATTGCTGTTCAGTTTCCAGTAATTTAAGCGAGATCAAGCTATTTTTAACTAAACTTTTGCTCCGTGATACCTCAACGCAATGCCGCTGTACTTTTTGTTTTTAAGTAAAAGCTTATCTCCCTTAAGCAAGCAGGACTTGAAGAACTGCGAAATCCCTAGTGAGGATTTGGTCTGCTTGAGAAACGCAGCAGTAGTCTGGAGATAAAGCCGACTGAGCTAATAAAAAAGTTCGCAACAGTAGGTTGCCTACCAGTCTTTCACTAAGCATAGAGTCAAAACCTCAAGGAAGTTTAAAGCGTTCACACTAGTAGCTCTATCATAAAAATATTTGTGGGCCCGGTATGTATTTAAGTCCTAGTAAGCCTAGTAAACTACTGCTGCTGGTACATTTCATCTCATTTCATCACATTTCATCTGTGATTAGCCCTAGATTTCGAATTAAAAATGATTATCCTTCTTGGCGGGAGCAATAGCAATCGGATTTTAAAACTTTTCCGTGAATATAACTAATTTAGGGTTACTAAGAATTATGTCAAGACCATGGCGGATATTCCAACAATCTAGGGGACTCGTATTGTTGCAAATGTCATACCCTATATTTAACGCAGTTTATACATTAATTACTTTTTGTCTTCTTTTTTAACTACTCATCTATCAAGCCACGCAATGAATTAGAAAAACCACAAGGTTCCTACATGAAGCTTCAACGCCAATGCCACTAAATCGCTCATTGGGGAGTTGAATACACTTTGACCTCTAACGTGTAATGTCATTTAAATAAAAGCTAATTGACTTATAACAAAAACTTTATATCAAAGATTTTAATAAGGAAGATTTAGAAATTTTTTTCATCACACATTTTAAACTCACTGTATGTGGACAGCCCACATGACATGCCTCAGCGTGTGTTTTATCGCTTACGCCTGCACAATATACGCAAACATCGAAAGTACCTAAATATTAAAACGTGGCTTACCGATGTCGACCGACGAAGTGTGTGAGAAATGCGTTTTCATGGTTTTCATTTCCCCAAAGGATTGCTGTTGCTTCGGGGAAGTTTGCAAATATTCTTCCTACACAATATATATCAGCTTACTTGTTGTATGTCAACACTTATAAGAGCATATACACATATATACATATCTATAGTCGAATACCTCTGTAAGTGCGTGCCTATATTATGTGGGTATAACCTCATGGGTACTCAAAATAATTTTAAATGTGAATATTATGTTTATTTAGCTTAAAGTCTCTTATCGGTGCAAGCAATTGTATAGGTGTGCGAATTTTCTGAGAACTCAAATTCTAAGTTTTATTTATTGTGATTTCAGCTTAGATGATTTGCATGAATTTACGTTTAAAGTTAAAAAAAAGGCATAAATTTTGTTACTATTAGGATTTCTTCATCGGATAGGTCCATATTTTTGCCTGAGAGAAGGTTGATGTTGAGGTTCCCTCCAAAACTGTTTTAGTACAATAGAAGAGAAACGTTAGTCAGAATCACTCTCAAAGCTTATGATACTGTCTGAGAGGGAACGTCTTACAATTGTACATTTCATCTCAACCGGATCTTCTGGGTATTAAACATGTATCCTAGTTTTATCAGTGATAAATGGAAACTTTTATAACAAAAGAGAGACAAACCTTGCAAGTACAAGTAGCGTACTAGTTCCCCCTGGCTCTAAGTTCCCGAAGGAGTTTGTGATCGCAGAAGTGCTGACGGCTACTTATTGATTTGATGAAAGGTGCGGCTGTCGCAAAGAAACTTGCAAGAGTACAACGCTATGCAATTGGACCAGCGTCCCGCCTTTGTAAGCTCTTCCATATCATTTAACTGTCCGGAATACATTTCGGGTATTAAGTACTCTCTTTAAGAGAGAAAGGGCGTACAGAATTTCGTTTTTATCTCCAAGTGAATATAATTACCTCAGTCTCACTCGGTTTGATGAGCATGTCAGGTATTTCAATTAGCCATAGATCTTCTATTTTCATAAATATTCCAACGTACATTTTTGACGCATTTTTTTAGGGCACACTCATAGCTACTCATCCATCACGCCACGCAATGGATTAGAGAAGCCAGAAGGTTCAAGCAGGAAACTTCAACGCCAATGCCACCAAATCACTCTTTGGGGAGTTGAATGCACTTTCACCTCTAACGCATAACGGCATTCAATTCTACCTTCACACACACACGCACACGACCACATGCACGTATTCACACGCCACGCATAAACATATTTACGCCGGAATTTAACTACGCATGTGCTCGGAAATCAGCTTAAATATGCGATATTTCCACTCGCTTGTGGCAAGAAGCTCGACTCGCGCTACCGCACACTTAAACATACACAAGTATATGCGTGGCTGTGCATGTGAGCTCGTTCTCATACTTGGCAACTTGTTGCGACGCGAACTTGTGCTTGTTATCCGCTTAGCATCCGCTTAGCTGACACTGTTGCTTCGAGTGCTCGCTTGCAAGAGTTCACCCGGTTCTCTTTTTTTTTATTTTCGCCACTTTGTTTTTCGGTTTTACGTTTTATGCTGCTTTGTCGGTTTTATGGTTTTGCGGAATCGCAAAATTATGCGCGGTAAACATTTGCAGCCAAATGCTTTTAGTGTGTGCTTGTATGCGTGGAACGAATGCGCTCGGAGGAGGAAATGAAGTTTTTTATTTCAACACAAAAAAGTTTTGAAATTTTCTTACTTAATTAAGAGTGTGCTACAATATGCAATTTATATGTGAATATAGAGTGGAAACATTTATTATTCGAAAAGATGAAAATTAATGGCAACACTGGCAGACATATGCTTAGGTTAACATTACAAGTTGAATGCTTA